GATATTGGAAGTGGGGGGGACATGTCCCACCCGGTGCCTATGGCGGTTACGCCCATGCCCACCAGTCTAACATAGAGACGTGGTGTTCACAAACTATTCAAATCATTTGAACAGCTCCTTAAAACAAACAATCAGCTCACAGACAGCTGAAAGTCATTCTTTTCTTCTTGTTTTTTCCTCACGTTTCCTCCTCAGTTACACACACACACAGACTCTCATACTGGTAAGAACTGGCAAATTGAAGGAGCAAAGCAGATGTAAAAGGCGAACCTGTGCTCAGGAAGGTGAGTTCTACAAGTCAGATATACAGCTAAGTAAGGCTGTACGACATTATGTCATTAAAAACATGGTGGTGGTGGTATGTAGTGTCATAATGTCATGAAGATGTGCATCATGACATGATTAACTATTCAAAATTCAACTCTCCATTGGCTTCCAGTTCACTTATAAACTGATTTTGATTTTGTTGTTGGCTTTTAAAGTTTTTCTAAAGGTCTGGCCTCATCATATCTATGTGATCTTCTAAACATCTACACTCCAGTCAGATCATTCTGGTTTACCAACCAGTTTCTTTCAGATCCAAAATGAAATCCAGAAGTAATCGAGCTTTTGTAATTGCTGCTCCAAAATTGTGGAACAGCTTACCTTTTTAAACCTTTGCTGAAGGCCCATCTGTTTTCTTTGGATTTGGATCGAGGCAGAGTTTGAGGTTCAATCAGAGCAGATGTTTTTTTTTTTTTAATGGTGCGTTTCTGTATTTTAATTTTACTTTGTTTTAATGATACACGTCCTTGACTGAATTGTAAAGCACTTTGGTCAGCTTTTGTTGTTTGTAATGGGATTCATAAATTAATTTGACATTGACATTGAACAGCTTTTTTAAAGAAACAAATCTTGAAGACCTTCAAAGAGCCACAAATCCCATCTCTAGCTTTAAAATCCAATGTTATAAATATTTCATGTTTAATTCAAATGATCACACTTTAGTTAAGATTTACTTTAATTATTCTTAATCAGTTCTAATAAATCATTTTCTTTCCTAAAGTATCTATGCATTCTTGCCTCTGCCTTGCTATAGAAAAAAGTTGATTTGATTTGACATAAAATGAGAACTTTATGGGTAACTGCCCCCTTCTTCTGGTGGGTACGTTCAGCTGAACTGGTGGCAGCAGTCCTACCTCTTAGTTTATTTGGATCCCAGCTTCTGAGTAGCTGCTGGTTGTTGAACCCTTCCTCCTGCCTGTGTCCCAGCTCCGCCCCTGGCTGACAGTCTGTAGTCTGCACACTGACAGACAGCAGCTGCTATTAAAGCTGCCTGCCTGGACCTAAGGGCTCACATCCATCTCTCAGGATCAGCACCTGGAGAGAGACAGGAAAAAAACAGTTATAAAAGAACGAGCTCTGCTTATCACAATGCACTGCCTGAAACGTTTGAAGACAGCTAACTCGGGGACTCTGCAGCTGATTAAAAATGCAGTTTTCTCCTCCCGAGTTGGAGCTGACATGATGTCCAGGAGTCAGCAACCTGTTTCTTCATCCATCTGGGCAGCATCAGCACACACCCACAGAGACTTTCATCATCTAAACACCTCCGTTGAGGACCAAGGACATTCCAAGTAGGTCACAAAACACAAGCAACAGCTCTATAATATTAATGTTTATATATTTTTTCTTCCTGACCAACTGCGCTCTCCTACAACAATCAGGCAAAAGTTAAACTTGTTTCACGTAGTTTGGCTAACATAAACTAACAGAATGGCTCTCTCGCTCTCATTTTAATTTAATCTGGCGTACAACTATGTTAAACTAAATACCAATAAACTAGAATAAATAATAGTCACAACAATTATGGTTTTTTTCATGTTTTTGTGTTTTTAAGCTAGTGCAGTGTTTGCCTTGCTTGCCACAGCTAGCTATAGTTGCTAACACACACTGACTGGCTAAACTACAGGTGTAATAAAATAACAGTTCAACGTTTCTTTGGGTAATATAAGTGCAGAAAACAAGTTACAAATTTTTTATTTAGTTAAAAAGGTACTCCATTACATTATGTTTTTAGAAGATGAAGTGTTAGCTTACCACTTGCTAAGCGCAACTATTTCGGTTTTAAGCTAGGAGTAGCGTAAGGGTCTTGTATCCAAATAACATTAAAGGGATCCCCGATTAGTTGTAACATTAGACTTTATTTGATAAACATATATTTAACTGTAAAATAAAGATTGTAAAAATACTGTAGGCTGTTTAGTTTTTATAATTTTTAAACTAAATGCTTAAAAGTATATTACATGTACGGGGCCATTTTATTTACACGCAAAGCATTCTGGGTAAATGATGACGTGGATAAGTACTTGGTGCAAAGCTGCTAGCGCTAGTGAGCTATAGCCACCTGAAGGTTAATCTTGGACAATATCTGAATATCGACTCTTTTAAATGAAACCAGARAGYGTTGACAGAGAGGAGAAGGTAGAAATGACTCAGCCTGTAACTGAAAATATGGATGGAGGACAACAGAGCTGCTTCATGGAAGAAGAACCTCAGCTTAGCCTGTTAGCTTTAGCGTTAGCCCCGACGCTATCACCATATATATGTATTAATTAGCTCAGCGCTACACATTCTCCTGTCGTCACTGAGGTCCTCCATCCACATGACGAGAGGGGAACGCAAAAATGACTCAGTCTGCAACTGAAAATAAGGATGGAGGACCTCAGTTTAGCTTGTTTGTCGCTCTAGCACCGAGCTAATATATATAAGGTAATATAGCGTGGGCACTAGCGCAAAGACTATCAGGCTAAGCTGAGGTTCTTCTTCCATGAAGCAGCTCTGTTGTCCTCCATCCATATTTTCAGTTACAGGCTGAGTCATTTCTACCTTCTCCTCTCTGTCAACACTTTCTGGTTTCATTTAAAAGAGTCGATCATCAGATATTGTCCAAGATTAACCTTCAGGGTGGCTATAGCTCGCTAGCAGCCTCACACCAATGACCTATCCACGTCATCATTTATCCAGAAGGCTTTCTGTGTAAATAAAATGGCCCCGTCTGTGTTAAAATAAATTTTAAAAAATTATAAAAACTAAACAGCCTACAGTATTTTTACAGTCTTTATTTCACAGTTGAAATATATGTTTATCAAATGAAGTCTAATGTTACAACTAATCGGGGATCCCTTTAAATAATGCCTCTAATATTCACTATTCTACAGAAGATTGCACAATGTTACACACACACACACACACACACGGTTAGCTTAATTATTTTTGTGGAGTACAACACCACGTTTTTTAACGCTGTGGTACAAGCCCACATCCAGTAAAGCCTGGATTAATGGCAATCAAAATAAAATAAACCAACTAAATAGTAGGCCAATTTAAACATTTAATTTAATTTAAAATAGTATATGAAGTATTCTGAGACTAATAAATGTGTTACTGAGTTTTTTTTTATTGTGATGCTCCCATGGAGTTAATCTCAGAGGAGTTAGAACAGACGCAGTAAATGTGATGAGTGATGCTTAACAAACATGATGGAAACCTTTACAGTTCATTTGATCCAATAATAACAGGTCAGCATACCTGATTGGGTTTTAACATGGTTGTGTCCCAAGGCAGCTGAGCCTTTCAAAAATAAAGCTTTGTGGCATCTTACAGCTCTGTAAAAGACCATAGAGAAGGAGTTTCACATTTAATTCAAAAGTACAAAAAGGATATTCAGTTTACCACATAGTCTTACAAACAGGTGAATAAACTTGTGCCAATAAACACATTTTTAAAATCTCAGTCTACTGGACAAAAAGATGACAAATATAAAGACAATCCTTTAAACATTGTTGCTTTTTCCCACCTAAAGCTCATTAAAGTAGAAGCTGAAAATTGTCCTGTGGTCAGACTATTCAAAACGATCAAACATTTTTTGAAAACCTCTGACTCTGTGCTCTCAAGGTCATAGTGGAAAATGGCAATGTGACCCAGAACCTGTGATGGTGGGACTGCAGTAGGTAATGAGTAACTTACTCATCTATGAAAACCCAATGAAAGCTAAATTATAAACAGTGTATGATTTCATTCATATGTTTTTTTTATTCAACAACTTACTTATTTCAGCAATACGTCTGGATGTTTTTTTTTCTGTGTGTTTTAAACCTGTCATCTGTTGAAAGCATCTCGATCAGAGAGGAACATAAACCAATACAAACTGTTGAAAATGCCTCATAAAACTGTGTGAAATTATATTTTCTGTTCTTAACTGTTGCATCCATTTGGAAGACAGAATCATATTAGTTAATAAATGAAAGTCAGCTAAATAATAAGGTAAATTATCAGTAATTATAACTTATTAAACTAAAAACCCATGTAGGAGTTGTGCCCATATTGGTCACTAGCAATAGAAAACCTTTGACCATATTAGGTCATAGGTCGCCTTCTAGAAGGATACCCAATCTATCAGTAACTTATATTCAACATTTATTTATCTATCTATAAAATCTACTAATATGCTTTGGTGAAAGATGATGAATGCTTTAATAAGTTACAGCAAAAACTGATGAAAGTTAGGCACTGAGTTTTTTCAAAATGAAACTCTTTTGGAAAAGAAAATTGCGACCCCTGTGTACCCATGTGTTGTGATATGTATCATATCAACAAACTCTTGCCATATACACAGCCCTAACTAACATTATGTTATAGCTAGTTTAATTAGCGTATGTTACTACATGCCCTTACAGATGATATATAAGGACTTCTTTCACAAGCCTGCGTCATGTCATATCTCAATCAATATTTGGCCACGTGTTTTTATTTTCACTGCCAGCAGTGTTACTGATGCAAACATTGGGAAGCTTCTCATGGTTTTGGTGTGAGAGTTCATGCGTTTTTTTTTTTAAATCTTGTGTTTCTGGTTTGTTTTGACAGAAGCCGTTTGATGTCCAGCATGGAGGACCTATTGTTTTACACCATCACAGACGGCAAAGAGACGATCCCCCTGTCTCAGTTCACCTCTGTGAGTCAACAACACATTCCTGTTTTACAAGAACCCATTTGAACGTCCACAAAAACGCTCTCTCAGTCGCTTGATGCCTCCTTGCAACACCTTTCGCTCTTGTTTAATCAACCTTGGTAATCAAATAGCCCACAGCAAGAATCCACAGCATCTCCGCCTGACTTGCAGCATCTCATTTAGAAGGTGTTTATGGTCTGTCTTATGCAGTTTGTCTAAATGTACCTGCTGTGACACTGTAGACTCAGCAAATTACCATCAGAGAGTTGTGCTCATTTATCACATTATATAAAACAATCTTTCTTATGAGCTTTAATTACTGTAATTTATTACACTTTTCAAGTTGTACATGTAGATGTGATAATTAAATCCCAGAGTAAAAAAAAACAGACATTTTATTCAAGCCATTAAGACCTGATGCATCACCTAACATTTAGAGGGTCTTTCAGGTCTTAAATAAGTAATTGAAAAATAAAATTAATTTAGGATTTAATGAGGTGTAGACTGTGTTGTAAAGCTTTTCCACACATGGGTCCTTACATATGGCAAAAAAGTATTTTTTGTTTTGTTTTTAAGAGGCCAAAAATTTTGGAAAATGTTGTCTTCTGTCATTTTTATCAACGTAAAACTAAGTGTAACAGTTTCAGAAAGGTAGGACCCAAGAATGCAGACTTTCTTTAGGGGTGAGCTTGAAAAAAAACCTTTATTTTAACAAAAAACAAAACACTGACAAGGCAGCAGAACACTTACAGAAAACTCAAGGAGGTAATGATGGAAGAGTGCAAGGAATACTGCTGGAGGCTGATGAGTGGAGTGGCTGCAGCTGTGACTTGTGAAACACGCCCATCTCCACCTGTGCCCGTGGCAGGCTGACTGGTGGAGAAGTGGCTGGTTGCGGTGCAACACAAGGGGACAGAACAAAGACCCAAAACCCTGAAAAAAGACACAACAAACTAACACACTGACGAAGATTATGTTTCGTTATAACCGCTAACTGTTTTTGACGTTTGAGTCAGTCGTACATGAAAACAAGGTGGACATCTGTTGAACTTGGTGTCCATGGAAACTCTTACGTTTTAAAAACAGGCATCTGTTCAGGGGACATGTGTCAACACAGGTGGCAGCTTGTTACAGATGACTGGGTGTGTTTGTGGAGGTTATTCTTGGCAGGATGGATGGTAAATGTGCTACTCAGTATTTGTGAGGGGGAAAATATTTAAAATAAACTGATAGTTACTTTAGTTTAATTTAAAATATTCTAAAAGGTACTATAAAAAAGTTACATTTGTTTTTATGTGTATTTTTACCACACGTAACCTCAGGGATGGACAACTTAAATGGAAGCGCTGCACACTTACCCAAATATAATAAAACTGCTCTTTTAGAAATGATTGTGCATAAACGTTTATTAAACCAACACACAGTGTAGTAACTTAACAACAGTTGTATTCTTCTTAAATAAATATGAATACAAAACCTTTGAAGCAAACAAAAACACAAACTACATAAACGTTAGCGAGTTGAAATGCAATGGCGTAAGACTCCTGCATGGTTGTGGTTCTGGTAAAAAGTTGCTGTTGTTTAAGTATTTGCAACTTCAGTAAACTTCTCATATGTAGCTTTGTGCAACGGGGGTGGGGCCTCATTGGTGGACAGAAGTCACTCACAGATGACCTGTTTTCTGCCTCTCTCCAGTTGTCCATCCCTGCATTACCTGATACCTTTACAGACTTTAAAAGAAAATGCTGTAGTTGTTTGTTTGCTAATGTCTGGTTAAAATTATTGGTTTAATGAATAAAAACATTAACATCATAGAACATTCAGATACTTCTTAATTTGTTTTTTCACTAAAGAGAAAATAAGCACCGTTTCAGGATCCAAAACTCCTCTCACACTGACTCATCTAAAAGATAAAACTTGTACTTATTCTCAGATCAAACCTTGTGTGAAGCTCCAAATGTGACCTCTCTGCCCTGAAGCTAAACAGAAAACCTTCAGAAACATTAAATAGCAGGCCTGCAGCTGTTTGGTAAGTTTATTTGCTTCTCTGAAGCAAATGTGATGAGTTGAATTTTAAAAAAGAAAAAACAAGACAACACTCCAGTCTCTCTGGTCAGGAGGGTTGGCGCTCACGAGGTCCCTGAAATAGCCACACGTGCTTCATACAGCCAGTATGGACGGCGGTATGAGAAAGGCAGCAGTAATATGAGACTTTCCCTCTTCAGCTGCTTGTAAACACACCTGAGGCTTCAAGTCTATATTTCATGTACATATATATCACATTCCTGTAGCTGACAGGAGAATCTCCAGAGTTTAACCCCGTGCAGAGGAGCCACATCCAAGGCCAGCACTTATTTCTGAAGCATCCCCTGTTAAACCAGTTTGTTCAAACATAACCAATTTCCTCACTGTCCAGGCTCTGAGGAGAACAGGTCTGTTAACATCCGACCCTCGGCTGCATGACTGCATCCGTCAGATGCGACAGTCCACACAGGACTCCATTGGACCGGTCATGATGGACAAGAAGCTCTTCAGAAGGTGAGGAAAAAAGCTGACGTTTATTTTCGGGGACACTGTTGTGCACAAACACTGACTCTAAAGATGAGTTACCTGAATGCTAAAGTGAGACCAAATCACATCCGTGAGTTTGTAAAAAGGCTTTCTGTGAATGTCTCTGCAGCATAACCCATGCATAAAAACTGATAAGCGTATTCCTAAAAGCGTGTAAAAAGTCTGCAAGCTGTCGAGTTAGGTTGGGTTAAGAGACCTCACTGCTTTTCCTTATTGCATGAAGAGAGGTGACTCGTGGTCAGCACTATTTGAGTCCAACAGGATGACAGACACGTGCGTTTTATAGCTGACAGATGCTATGAAGCATATTCATGTGCATGCAGGCATGCCAGTGGAGGTTACAGGAAGACAGAGAGGTCTCAGGAGCTGCTAATGAAAGGGCATCATTCTGGTTGAGCTCCAGACTCTGGCAATTACATTAGGAGGCTCAACAGATTTTTAAAGTCCCCCACCACTGTGCTAAACATATGATTTCCTGTCTGATGTGTATAACACTCTGGCAGCGTGACTGTTTCATCTAAGTGCATCAGCATTATCTTTTTTCTTTTGTACGTTTCTTAAAAGTACGAGGTTCCCTGTTTCTGAACGCAAACAAAGAGCTCTCCGTAACTGCTACAAGTGATTTGATTGATTTGATTTGATTTATTGATTCAACAGGAAAAGATTACTAAAAATCAAGCCTGACTCAGCGTAATTGCTGTTTTACAGCAGGTTCCTGTTCTGCAGCACATAAAACACTCAGAAATACAGCATCACAATCACATCATTATACACCATAGACACAAAGACAAACAAGCATACCAAATTTCAAAAAGGCAGCATTTGCAAAATAGGACGTCTAAATATGAGCACAACAAAAAGTGTCCAGCAGATGGCAGACAAGATTCTTCTTAAAGGGCTGTAGTTTTGAAATGGACTTTATGTTTTGAGGAATGTCATTCCATGCTTTAGTATAAACATAGAAGAAAGACCTCTGGCCGTAACAGTTTTAATAGTTGGTAATGTCAGTTGGCCTTTTGTAACAGATCTAGTTGAATGACCACTTCCAGAATTTGATTTGGGCAACAATACACAGAGTTCCATAATTGGCACCTTGGAAGATCTGAAAATATAAATTAATACCACTATACAAAACATAAGTGAAGCAGAGTGTTGTCTTCCATTATGCTTTGGAAATGAGCCACATAAACTATTCAAGCTTTTCTCCACTCTCTCTTCCTTATATTTCAGACCTCTTGCGTTGCCCTGGATTAGCTGAGGCTCCTGGCCAGATATTCTAGTTCAGACCAGCTGTGACAGCATGTACCATTACCAGTCCTTGAGAGCCTGCAGCATTGCTGAGCAATTATAGCAACAAAGGTTCCTCATAGCTGTTAGCATGTCCTGGTGAAAACCTGCTGCTGCTGCTTTAGTAATTTTGCTCTTTTTTTAACCCGGCGTTGGTCTATCAGTAGCTATGTTTACATGGACATAAGTTATTTGATTAAACGACCATTCGGAATAAAAATCTGTGATGTAAACACCTCAATCTGGTTATTCTGACCCGATTCAGCTCGATCCGAATGAATTTGTAATCGGAATGAGGAGGTGGTTAATGCCGATTGATAATCTGAACAGTATGCATGTAAACACTTAATCTGATCATTTTATTCTGATTGTGGAAAACTGACCTAACTGATCATGTCTGCTGACTTTCATCCACTGGTTTCTGCTCTTTTGTGGAGGGTGTTTTCAGCAGCACAGAACTTTTCATCCAGTTTTCTCATTCAATAAAGAAGGAAGACACACAGCCTGCGCCGCTTAACAAAACAAAAAGTCTGTGCGTCACCTGTAGCTGAACCAGAGAGTGCAGTAACACCTCCACCATTATTAAAACCTGTCGCAGGTCCATTAGTGCTCAGAAGCTGTTTGTTTACGTTCATGACGAAAGTAGAACTTTTTTCTGTGGTTTTTTTTTTTTAGGGAAAGTTAACAACTGCGCATGTCAGTGCTTCTATTCAGAATAAAAGCCTGGTGCATGTAAACACTCGTCATGATCGGATTGTGCCCATGTAAACGATACATTCCGATTGTTTAATCCGAATACATTTCAATCCCATCAAAGAATTTTGCGCATGTAAACAAAGCTAGTGAGACAACAAATAAGATCTCATGACTGAGATGAGCATTTCAGTTCAGTATAATCTGAAGTTGTTTGACAAATATTTATAGTGATCATATATAAACCTGGTGTCTTTGCCTGTTAAAAGATACCTTTTCACAATTGTTCAACTCAAATAAAGCAACAGAGGTAGGCTAAGTTTACTTGGCTAAGTTTACTAGCAAATTTTTATTTTAGCCTGTTTTTCTGTAGTTTCAATGTTACAATTTAATATTACATTTCTGAGTTGATTTTGATCAGATATTACCCTTTGAGTTCTGCATTTTATTAGGGTTGTGTATTGGCAAGAATTTGGCGATACAATACATATCATTACAGAGGGGTCACGATACGATATATCCCGATATATTGCCATACTATAAGCAAGGCGATACTGTATATTGCGATATATTGCAATTTTTTTGTCCAAAAATTCTATTAAATAAAAACCTCTTACGGGGGAAAAAAATGAAAAACCAAAATTCATTGTCTCAGAAAATTCTAATATTACATAGACATACTTTTGATACATTTAGCTGTGTTCTGCTTTGTATGTGTTTTATTTTATTTTTCATCCATGTTTTCAATTATTAGACTAAATTTGCCAATAAAAAGCTTGAAAATATATTTTTGCAGCTTTTCGTTTTTAATATTAATTTACAATATGGTCACCCAAAACTAAACAATAGCGTTTGTTGTCATAAAG